CATATATAAAATTTTATAAAATTTTTTAAAAATTTTTTAAAAAACCTACCTGGTTATTAAAATATATAAAAATTTTTTTTTACAAGTTTTCAAATTTTGACCCGGCCGGGTTATGAAAACCAATTAATTTTGCATGGCCTTATTGGTCTAAATAAATTTTTCAAATTGAACTAGTGTGCTAAACTATAGCTATAGCAAGATTTATAGTATAATTGCTCAATGAAATTTTTTTGTTTGAGCGCAAAAGGTGGTTTATTATGCAAATTTTTGAGAAATAAACGATTTTTGAAAAAAATTACCATTTTGTTTTGATCTTTCTGATCGTGTAGTGTTACATCAAAGTGAGACTCACTATTGGAAAAATTACGTGACAGTGAATTTTAATGGTGATGCAGTGGTGGTTCGAATCAGATTTCAAGATCAGATACAAACTAACACAATTAAGAAAACTTAAAACAAACATCTGCTTTGTGGAAAAATCTTGTTTATTTTTTGAAATTCTACATTAAGAAAAGTTTTCATTAGGCATTTTTGCTATATAAACTACCTTCTTCTAACTCGTAATCCTAACTTAACTATAAAAAAAAGCCGACAAAAAAGACCCCGAAAATTTTTAAAAATCATATATAAAATAGATCCAAATTTCACCATCATCCGATTTCACGATCATCCGTGACATTTATTTTTTTGAAGTCAACATGAGAATATAAAATCTATTATTGAGTTACAATATAATAAGTTGATAGCTAATCGGAAATAAATATGTTAATCAGCAAAATATTATGTAACTGTCTTATATAATGAATTATATCTGGCTGTAATAAAATTCACTATCGGTTTGCTTCCAAAGTGGTAACTCTTTTTTGATTAGCAGCAGCAGCAGCTTTGGTCATACGACCCATTTTGTCTATATAGAAGAAATTTCCGTTAAAAATCGTTCACTATGAACAACAGTTCTTAGAACACTAACCATCAGAAATTTGTTGAATCCTCTCACGATTTTCGGTAGAAAGCTGTTCAAACACCTCAGACATAATATTAAAAAGCTCTTCGTCATTGGTTTTATTAGATTCTAAATTAGTTTATTTTTTATATTTAATAGACGTTTATTAATTAAAAATTAATTTAATGAAACATATTGCTCACCGGTATCGGCATCAGAAATACTAGTTTGTAATGAATCACTACTTTGTGATAAATAACTACTTTGTGATAAATTACTACTTTTTGGTGAATCATTATTTTGTGGTGAATCACAACTTTGTGGTAAGTCTTTCCATTTTTCACCTGATATTATGTCTTCTTGATATATTGATTCATATACCTGATTAATTTCTGGTCGTAAATTAGGATCCCCATCCCAGCAATTTGTATAAAGCTTAACATAGGAGTCAGTTGACTCATT